GTCAAGGAACCAATAAGTTTCTTTTTTCTCATTATGGTTTATTACAGGATATTGAATATAGTTCTCTGTGCTATACAGTAGGACCGTGTTGTTTCTGTATTTTATATATAGTAGTTCATATCTGCTAACCCCAAACTCCTAATTTATCCCTCCCCACACCCTTTTCCCTTTTTAATCATCCATTGGTTTTCTATGTCTGAGTCTATTTCTGTTTCATACATAAGTTAATTTGGGTCGTATTTTAGATTCCACATATAAGTGATATTTGTCTTTCTCTTTCTGACTTACTTCAGTTAGTACGATGGTTTCTAGGTCCATCCATGTTGCTGCAAATGGCATTATTTCATTCAAAAAGATATTTTTCTTAAACAAAGACGATTCCAGTTGTTGGGAGGAACTTTACTGCTGGCTCTTAGAATAATAGTCTTTCACTTGGTTCCCAGGTGTGTTTTGTTGCTTTGATTCTAGTGATTATAAACTGTAAAGAAACGGGGATATGTTAGTGTTTGCCCTCATAAAAGACCACCCAGTGTTGAAGGCCAGATTAAAATGGAGATTATAGCGCACCTACTCACAGTGTGCCATACTTAACACCACATTTATCTACACAGCCACTGTAAGTGACTCATTGTTTGGTGATTCTTGTGTCATAAGAGCATTTTGGGGGTTCCCTTATTTGGTTAGCCTTTGCTTATATCGTCAAAAACTTAAACAGATGAAATAGTATGCATTTCAAGTCCTAAGGCATTTTAAGAATGGACTTCTACAATCCATCAGAGGTCTAGTCCTACTTTTTCCTAGCTTTTTCCTTATATTTTATTATAAAAATTTCCGGACACATATAAAGTTTGAAAAAAATATATAGTGAGCACCCTTATACCTGCCACCCGTATTCTACCATTAACATCTTACTATAATACTTGCTTTGTCACATATTTATCCATCTATTCATTGCCCTTTCCACCCATCATTCCATCGTATATTTTGGATACATTTTAAAGATTGCATACACTTCCTCCTAAACACTTCAAACCCATATGATTAACTAAGGTGAAGTTTTGTTTACAATTGTTTTCCTTTTCAAGCAAAATTTGCCTCTTATGAAATGAACAAATCAAGTGTACGTTTGCTGAGTTTTGACAAATATATACATCTTTGTAATCCAAACACCTGTTAAAAACAAGACAACAGGCCCCAAATGAAGTCACTTATGCTCAGCCCCACATCACCAAATCGAGACTTAATTACAGTTTTGGCTGTCCCAGAAATGGAATCTTAAACCAGTCCATCAGGATTTGCCTATTCAGCACTAGTTAATCTGCCTGATAGACCCCTGCCATCCCGTAAAGGCAAGTAAACTTGCAATAACCAATCCACTTTTTTGTCTGTATAACTTCCTCATTCTGCTCCTTTCTACCTATAAAAGTCTTTCATTTTGTACATTGGAGCTCCTTTCTATCTGCTAGGTTGAACGATGCCTGATTCATGAATCACTGAATAAAGCCAATAAGATCTTTAAAATTTACTCAGTTGAGGGGACTTCCCTGGCTGCCCAATGGTTAAGACTCCACCCTCCCAATGCAGCGGGCACAGGTTTGATCCCTAGTCAGGGAACTAAGATCCCCCATGCTGCAAGACGTGGCCAAAAAAAAAATTTTTTTACTCAGTTGAATTTTCTTTGTTAACACACCTATCAAAATGTGCGATATTACCACTACCCCCAGGAAATTTCATATCCCTTCCCTGTTAATGCCTGCCTTTTATCCCTTTGATCCCTGCCTTTTATCAACCACAGTTTCTAGTTGATTTTTACTCTGTCATTTTATCAGGGAGTTCCCTCCCCTCCATTAGTTCTGCTGAATAAGCCCATCCCATGATTTAAAAATAACACTTTTAATGTTATATTCAGTCACCCCTCAGTATCTATAGGGGATTGGCTCCAAATCACCCCACAGATACCAAAATTCACAGATGCTCAAGTCCCTCATATAAAATAGTGTAGTATTTGCATATAATCTCCCATACACTTTAAATCATCTCTAGATTACTTATAATACCTAATACACGCTATGTAAATAGTTGTAGATACAGGCGTGACTCATTTTATTGTGCTTCACAGGTACTGCATTTTTCACAAATTGAAGGTTTGTGGCAACGCCTGTTTCAAGGAAGTCTATTGGTGCCATTTTCCCAATAACGTGCTCACTTTGTATCTTGTGTCACATTTTGGTAATTCTTCACAATTTGCCAATATTTCAAACTTTCATTATTACCATATTTGTTACGGTGATTTGTGATCTGTGATCTTTGGTGTTACTATTGCAAAAAGATTATGACTTGCTGAAGGCTCAGATGATGGTGAGTATTTTTTTTAGCAATAAAAATTTTTTTAATTAAGACATGTACATTTTTTAAGACATAATACTATTGCACACTTAATAGACTACAGTATATTGTAGACATAACTTTTACATGCACTGGGAAACAAAAACATCTGTGTGACTCTATTGTGGTGGTCTGGAATCAAACCTGCAATATCTCCAAGGTATGCCTGTACAATGTTAATGCTATGTAAATAGTTGCTTGCATGCAGTAAATTCAAGTTTTGCTTTTAGGAACTTTCTAGAATTTTTTCCAAATATTTTTGATCTCCTGTTGGTTGAATCCACGGATGTGGAATCCACAGATATGGAACCAGCCAATAGTTAGAGAAATAACCCCAAATATGGAAAATACCATAGGCAAAATATAGATACTTATCATAGTGCTATTTTTCTGTGACAAAGTGAAGCCCTAGAGTCTAATTATGGAAGGGTTTAAGTGTATTTGAGGCTCTGGCGACACAGAACAACTTTGAATGTTTAGCTAGGAAAAGTTTAGGACAATCTTTTTTACATCATTACTTCTGTTTGACTAACGGTGTAACTTTTATATAAATAATATCTTTCAAATGTTTCTCCAGAGGCTCATCCCCAATACCAGCATTATGGGATTTTACTCATTCTGGAGCATCCCATGCTAAAGTTTAAGAGAACCTGGTTGCATATTTCTCTTCTCTAGCCCAAATCTCAGCACCCTCCCCCTTCATCTGCAGCACTCTGCCATTTCACAAGGCTGCAGATGAAAACATCTGTCCGTTAATTACTTGCAGGGGCAGAAGGTTAGAGAAGGGAACAGGAAAGAGAGAGTTGTCACACGCACTTCGTTTTTCTGTTTTGCCATGTGCACCTTTGAAGCAGAATATTTAGAAGTAACCTGACCCTCATACCGCCCTGCACAATCTTGTTTCCTAGCTCTGAGGTGAGTTATTCTGTACACCCTAAAATAAAAATGACATTTAGACACACACACACACACACACACACAAGAAAACACCTCTCCCATCCTTTTTCCTCCCTTCCCCTTCCCAAACCTCTAATTGCCTCTTTAAAATGACTGTTGTCATGTTAACGAAACGGTTAGGTGTTATTTAGGGGGCCCGGTCCTTTATGTCTCAGCATAGAAAGAATTCAGCGAGAGGCAAACTGATAGATAAGAAGTGATTTATTAGAATAGGACGCTTGCGAGGCTTAACAAGCAGTCAGGCAAGCGTTGCGATGCCCCGAGTACTTAGTGGGTTACATTTTTATAATCAGAGGAAGAGAGAGGAGGGGGAGAAGACCTTCTTTGTCTTTCTTGAGTAGATGTCATGCTTTCCTCATCAGTTCCTCCTCCAGATTGGGTTTTTTGTCCCTACATAGTCAGGCCAGGACTGTCATGGCACTTTGGAAAAATTATTTCAGGTCTCAGTACAATGAGGACCTTTCACTTTGATATGTCACCTTTCCCTAAATGATTGTTTTTTGTGTGCACAGAGCACGTGCCGGTTGTCATTAACTTGATGACACCACTGGGCAGGATATAGGTCTCCTGCCACCATTGTTGTATTGTTCCGGGGCATGTCTCATGCTTCTGTTGCATTATTTTGTTGCTAATCAAGCTAGCTTTATTTTGTTAAGCAAGCCAATCTGGCTTTGATGCTAAACCACTTGTTCTGCTTTATGAGTCAAGGAAGCCCACAGTTTTTCAGGATTTTCCCATTACTTTCTTGAGTGATCATTAATCTTACTGTGGTCTCCCAAAGCTCCCTAAAGTTCCCTATCAACAATCCCCCTAACGGGGTTTCTAAGCTAACTATTTGATTATCCTACTCAATCCCTATCATTAACAACACAGAATTATGCCAATGACAAATTATCGAGAAAAAAAACAGAATAAAAAATTTTATTATCGTATTTAAAAAGATAACGTAAAAGACTAGAGGAAAAAAAATCCCAAAATTCAACAGTTTATGTAGTATCTAATTTCCCCCCCAAATTTCCAAAACGTCCATTATATTCGTAATTTTATAAGAAAAATAATTTTAAGAACAAATCTATGAAAATGGAATCCCACAGTTTCCAGATTAAGCTGGGCAGGTTTAACCTGATTTGGGGCAGATGCAGCAGTTTGAAATGCCAGGTCTTTTGTTGGGGAAGGAAGAGATGGGTGGGGCAGGAAGGACGGTCCTCGTGGTTATTTCTCTGTAGCGTCTCAGTTCTGTCGCACAACCCAAGTCAAATCAATGCATTAAACGCCTCTTCCTTTCTGCTTGTCCCCAAAACGGCAAAGAACGACGTAGTGGGGCAAAAAGAACACCCCGAGCGCCGTTGCAGGGATCCTAGTGGGCCAGCTGGGCAGAGGGCGCGCGAGACGTCGCTAGCCTCTCCACCCGCCCCAGCCCCCGACGCCCAGGCCCCGCCCCGACGCCCAGGCTCCGCCCCCGTCCCGGCTCGGCCCCGCCCAG